TTGGCTGGTTTTGGGCTGTAGCAGGTTGAGCCGCTGGGTTCTGTTCTCTATCCTTTTTTTTCTTTTGCCAAGTCACTTTAGTGCAAGTATCATCCCGGGCTGGCTTTTTTTGTGCTGGCTTGTCAATTTCTGCAGAGGGGCTGGGCGTGGATAGCGGCCTCTTCTTGTTGTTGCCCTCTCTTTGCTGTGATAATCTCTTAGGAGTGACCACAGGTGGCTGTGGTTTTTTGCTTAGACTCGGAGATGTTTGAGTCGTTGACGCTGTTGTCGTTGATGATTTGTTGGCAAGCCTATATGTCGTACCAAGAGACGTAACCATTTTTCTGATCTCGTGATGGACATTTTTCTTGTCCTTTATGAAGTCGACTAACTCAAGTCAATCTTGCTGCCGAGTCTCTCCATTGGTGACTGTTGGCTGGTGACAGTCGGTACAGAGTTTATTCTTCCTCGGTAGGTTTGGTTTGTGACAGGAGCAAAAGGTCCTCCAGTTTTTGAAGGACCGTTGTTCAGCTGTCCGTTCTCCTCCCTCTGGGCTGTTTCCGTACTCCCTGTAGCATTTCCAGACAGCAGAGCCATGGGGTCTACCCTGCTGTCGTAACGGTCGCTTGATAACGACGAGTTCAGGCCCGTTTGCACGTCTTCCCTCGCCGGCACTGAGGTATCCCTCCTCTGTACTGTAGACAATGTTTTAATGTTTTCTGACATTTCCATATTGTTGTTGGTGTTGTTCATTTAGCTCTACCCGGAGAGCACGTAGGGTGTTAAAGCAGTACCTACGGACGCGAACAACGCTACCCTCGTCTTGTTAGGTCAGTTAGTGTGACCAACCCATTAAAGGGGAGTTTTTGTCCACGGGAGCGTATTTTGTTTGGTTATTTTGCTTGGCTCCTACCCGCTGTACCTCATCAACTAAGAGATTATCCAAGTGTCATCCAAGGACAGCGAGCGTTCTCCCATCCGCTCGGGGAGACGCGCCCGGTAGCAGTATCTCTTCTGCCCCGACGTGTGTGTGTGTGTGTGTGTGTGTGTGTGTGTGTGTGTGTGTGTGTGTGTGTAAAAGCATGTGATCTGCTTATAACTTTTGAACGGCTCATCCGATTTTATCGCAGTTGATGCTATTTGAAAGGGCTTGGCCAAACTTAGATTTTGAATATAATTTGGACTGATTCGGACCAGTAGATTTTAAGGAATCTTCAAAAAACTAAGAAAAAAAATTTTTTGAATTGTGGTTTTTTTTGGATAACAGCTCCACCGATCGATTCCAAAAATAATCAGCTTTAAGGGGGGAGCCTGCTTTACAGGCTTCAAAAAATTGATTTTTTTTGACAAATGTCTTCCCAAACTATCCCAGAATGTGTCCCTAAAATTTCAGAAACAAATTCAAAATATTTTCGGAGTTACAGGAGAAATAGTGAGCAAGCGTCGAGTAGGTATACGAGCGGCCGGATCGCTCGTAGTGCCCGCGCTCCGCCCCTTGATCAATTGTATGTATTGTACCTATTGTAACTATTATACGTATTCAAAGGTGAAGTCTGAAGGTCAACTCTATGGACCAGCAATCGCTGATTAGCATATTATTGCGGTAAGTTCTATTACGATTTTTTATATACAAAAACTTTGACGCGCGATTTCTCGGTTTTTCATTTTTACGATTTTTCCTAATTGGCGGGAAAGATAGGGATAAAACTGAACGTCCTATCGAGACGAGACAAAATTTATTGTATTCGGGATTAAATTCTCTTCTAGTTGAACTTCAAAAACCTTAAGAAAGTTATGATTAACCCACTTTTTAAACAATCTAAAATGAATTTTTGTTTTAATTTGCGAAAAATTCTTGAATTTCTCACTTTTTGTCAAATTTTCTTGGTTTAACTAGAAGCTATACTCTTAAAAATATAAATTTTTTTGGGTATGTTGTTTCAGATGGAAGTTGCAACCTGCATCTTTCCCGCCGTACGACACATGCACACTCGAAGTGCCTCGGCGAAATGCTTGTACCAGGCATAATATGACATATATTTTAATTAAAAAATTTGAGAAGACTGTTGAAATATATAACAATACAACCTAAAAGTTTAGTTTCAATCGAATATTTCTTTCCTTCCCAAAAAAATCTTCGAAAAAATCGATTTTTTGAAGCTTCTAAAGCAGGCTCCCCCCTTAAACAACAAAAAACCACGTCGATCGCTACCAAGCTGGTCAAAATCAGTTGATTCGTTCGAGAGATATCGTGAACGAAAGAAAACCAAATAAAGTGTTTTTTCGGAATTATATTCCGAAATTTATAGTTTGATCAATTCAAACTTGAAAATTCTTTATGAAGCTGATAAAACTGCGTCTAATGTTGCCAACCGCGTGAAAATCGGTTGATTTATTCAAGAGTTATTGCGGTTTGAAAATTCCAAAAATAGTGTGGTCTATGAATCTCCTATCAGAGTTTTGAGCTCGAAGAGCTCAAATGCATAGAAAAGCTAACTCTTTGAGCTCAGTGGGCTCAAAATAAAAAACCAATCATATTTCGAGCTCAAAGAGCTCAAAAACGCCATAAGTGCAATTTTAAGCGCCCAGGTAAGGAATTATAGCCCATCGGAATTAGCGGGAAGTTGCAGGGATTGCCTTCAGGGTCAACCGTTTTCTAATTTTTAGGTAGATTTCTTTAGAAATCTAACTATTGTAGCCGGTCTCATGTTGTAATTTTAGGAAAATTTTATCATAATATGTTTTATTTCATCGAGTTATGTCGAAAAATAGCATTGGCTCAAAAGTTTATATATGTATTTATTAGGGTGTTTCAAAAAAAGACGAAATTTTTTTTTCTTTTGGTGTCTAAAAATTGATAGTATACCTAAAAACAAAAATTTTGGTGCCCATGTGAGCTCTTAATATCATTAGTAAGATTTGCCTGTATCCATTTCTTTATTTTCTATTTAAATAACACGGGAAAAATTTTTTTTAATATTTTAATTTTTATTACTTTGGAACGGTTCATCGCAACAACAATCTAAAAAATGACATTTGTAGGAAATTTAACGCTCTACAAAAAACGTCTAAAGACTAAAGTTCCTCAGATTAACGGCTTCAAAGATATCCGCGGTCAAAGATAACACTAATAAAAAATTTCAAATATTTTCCGATAAAACTACAAAAAAAATATCATATGCTATATTTTTATTATTTTTTATGTAAAATTACTTTAATTTCGTTAACCTGAGACTGTAAACTTTTTTTTTTTACTAATTAATTCAATACTTAACTCACGAAATGCACTAATATATAAATATAAACGTTAAAAATATCTTATAAATGATTTTTTGGTCTCTTTTATAACAAATTTATTTTTTTCTTTAGTAAATATTAAGAAATTTAATTGAACAATTAATTCTTTATAACAAAAAACTATATTTACAACTTGTTACAACAATTTTTCAACTTAAATATATTACAGTTTTATAAAATTACTTTTATTGCAATTAGGATATTGTTTTCTATGTTCTGTCACTACTTGCAACAAATATTGAAGCTGTTGTTCATCTTTCGTCAAGCATCGATTATACTGCTCTATCAATGCCACGCCGCGTTCTGCTACATCATTCCCAACTTGAAGTTTCCCGAAATACTCTAAGTTTTCTAAGAAATTCGGATTCTGAGGCCACAAAGTAACATCCTCATCAATGAACTCATACGACAAATCAAACGATTCAAATATATTAATCGATCTCATAGACACAAATTGACTAAGATCTTTATTTAATAATGACTCTAAATTTTTCTTATCTATTATAAAGCGATTTGTTGTAGTTTCATTGGCTTTACAGTTTTTAAGAGCATGAACTATTCTTTTTTTTGTTCCAACTGAAACATTTTTATCAAAGAGAGATAAAACAGACAGCTCGTTGTTTAAATACCACAAGTGATCGGCTAATTTTTGTGAGCATGTCTGTGAAAGATTATTATTAAATCTTTCATATGAAATTAATTCTTTAACCAAAGTTAAATCATTATTAGGTGCTGTTATAGCACACGGCGCAGTAAACCAAGCTTTTAAATAGAATATTATAATAAATAAACAAAGTTCTCGTAATCCATCTATTTCCGATTAAGTAAGATGAAATTCATTTCTGAATAAAAAAATTTTTAAACTATATATTGCTTTAGCCATCCACCTTGCATGATGGACCGCTCCAGGATGCTTAAATGTAATATTTGTGGTAGTAGAACCCAAAAATATTAATGATAATTCCAGAAGTTCACGGTAATCGTCTCGACAATGATCCATCTACAAAAAAAGTTAAAAGTCAAAATGAAATTGATTATATCGCAATTTCAAAGTTAAGAAGACTAATTATTATTAACTGATGTGAGGTAAAAGTTGTAAAATATTTTACAAACGCAATTTTAATCGTTAAAGATGATTGAAAGTATAACAGTCATGTGAAACTGATTTTCAATATTTTTAATCACGACGGCAAGTTAATTAATCAGAGTAAAATTGATAATTATGAGTAAAATTGATAATTGACATTTTTCTCTTCCACTTTAACATCAGTTAATAATTCTTCAGCGCTGGATTAAAAAATTTTACTTCTATTTGATTATTAACGAATTTCAAAATCTCATCTTTGATTGGTGTTATTACTTCCAAAACTTTTTTATCACAAATACCAGCCGTAAAATTTGATTGGTCAATTTCATCCCACTTTTTTTTAAATCTCTGATAAATTGGAACGTTTGGGCCAGACGAAGCAGGCCAGTATACTTCAAATGCACTTCGAAGAACAATTTCAAAAATATGGTGTCGGCATGGCAAGTACAACAGTTTTCTACTAAGAGCCTTTTCTACTAATACACACGCACCATTTCTGATTCCTGAAAAAATAAAATGAGAATTGCTAGTGAAGTATCGATTTTTTAGAGTAGTAGGGAGAAATCTTTTCAATTTGAAAAAAGAAATAACTCATAACTTGAAAATTAATGGTTAATACTAAAAATCTGATTCGATTTAGCATTTAAACATTACGGTAATCAACCATGTTATATTTTTTTTATTAATAAGTTATTTACCCGTATTTGACGCCGTAGTATCAGAACACAATGCTTTGATGTTGTCAGTATTAATATCCCATTGTTTTACTGTTTTAATAATAGCTGAAGCTTGGTTTTGTCCAGTCCCAGATTCTAGTTTAGGAACTCCTAACAGTTGAAATTTACCTGATGATGATAAAATAATCGGAAGCCGGTCAACTTGTTCTGTACCTGTAATATCTGATAACAGTTTTCCATCAAAATGTAGTACATAATTGTCAGTTTCGAGATTAGTCTTCAGATTTAATGCCGCTTCTTTCCGTAATTTTTCCCTTACTCGGTGAATAGTCACATGACTAAAGTTTACGCTTGCACAATCAATATTCAAGCTAGATAATAAAGCAGCAATAATGTAAGTCGCCATCCTACTAATCACGTTAGCTCTATCCAAAGCTGCAGCAAGTTCTGGTGTCATTATATCAATTTTTGGAACTTGTTGTTTTGGCATTTCATCTTCATAATCAGAGATTATACGAGAAGTATTACTTTCCAAAGATTTCTGGGATAATTTAGATGTATGACTTGATATTTCATGATTAGCAACATCATCAGTCTCAACTGCACAATAATAGTTAACATTGTCATTATCAAACTCTCTGACATTATTATTACTATCATTACCATTATTATTATAGTTGTAATCATTGCTATCAATGTTCTCTTCATTATTATTATCACTATTATTGTTATTATTATCATAATTGCTGATATCAATGTTGATATCAATGGATGTCCATGTCTTCGACATCTTCTAAAATTGGTTGAGAATTATATGAAATAAAACCACGTCGACTGGAAGATTTTTGTCCCAAATAAAATAATCTTTTTTCTTTGTCCAGTATATTTAAAACATCCGAATGAGCTACATCAAATAGTTTATTTAATTCATCCTGAAAAACGGATTCCTTTTTTTTTTTTGAGACTTTGACTTTTTCATTTTACGGTTTTTTTGTAAATTTTTCCATCGATTGTGATTTGAGGTTAGTTTCAAAAAAGCAGATCTTTTCTCTCTTGTCGGGATTTGTGCTGCACACCAAATTTCAAAAACTTTGTCGATAGTGATTGATATACTTTCTTTAACTGAAAAATTTTTCGTATCAAGATAATAAAATAAAAGCGACATAACCTCTTTCAGAGAGGGTAATTTTTTTCCAACTAATTCACTTAACACATCACCAATCAAGTACACTGTTTTCACCATTATGGTCATAAAATTTATAACTAATATATTTCAACTAATTAAATTAATAATATAGCGGATTGAAAAAACAGTCAGTATCAATGAATAAAGACGATGACGAGAAGATATAGTAAAGCGTTGAGAGCAAAGCAACTAAATGAAGTTAGTACCGAATAACCAGGCTTACCAACACAGAGCTTATTAGCTACAACACTCAAATATGAGTGTTTGGTGAGTTTGTGTAATAAGGAACTTTACATTTTCCTCTTACAAAAATTTATGAATTTTTATAAAATATAAAATAAATTTGTCATAAAAAAGACCAAAAAATCATTTATGACATTTTTAACGTTTATATTTATATCTTAGTGCATTTCGTGAGTTAAGTATTGAATTAATTAGTAAAAAAAAAAGTTAACAGTCTCAGGTTAACAGAATTAAAGTAATTTTACATAAAAAATAATAAAAATATAGCATATGATATTTTTTTTGTAGTTTTATTGGAAAATATTTGAAATTTTTTATTAGTGTTATCTTTGACCGCGGATATCTTTGAAGCCGTTAATCTGAGGAACTTTAGTCTTTAGACGTTTTTTGTAGAGCGTAAAATTTCCTACAAATATCATTTTTTAGATTGTTGTTACGATGAACCGTTCGAAAGTAATAAAAATTAAAATATTAAAAAAAATTTTTCCCGTGTTATTTAAATGGAAAATAAAGAAATGGATACAGGCAAATCTTACTATTGATATTAAGAGCTCACATGGGCGCCAAAATTTTTGTTTTTAGGTATACTATCAATTTTTAGACACCAAAAGAAAAAAAAAATTCGTCTTTTTTTGAAACACCCTAGTATTTATGTATGTATATACAGGGTGTCCCAGAAATAACGGACGCCATTGTAGCATCTGATGAAAAAAATAATTCTAAGACGAAAAGTCCCTAGCCATTTTTTAATTAGATGCATAGATAATTCATTATTAATTAAAATAACGTCTCTTTATGTGTTAGAGAGAGAGCGCCAGTGTCCAGTAAAGTATGTGCCAAACAAAGATACAACTAACTGAATGACTAACTAGCTACTATAGCTAACGTAGTCACCTACATTTACTAACACATTCACACGTGCAAGCGTCTTCGTTTGGAACGCACTTGACTGGATACTAGTACTCTCTCTCTAACGCATAAAAGGACGTTATTTTAATTAATAATTAATTATCTATGCGTCTGATTAAAAAATGGCTAAGGACTTTTCATCTCAGAATTATTTTTTTTACCAGATGCTACTATGGCGTCCGGTACTTCTGGGACACTCTGTATATATATATATGTCGGAGATAATGTCGAGCTGGGTTTTCCCAGAGATAGGAAATTTCCGATCAATCAAAGTAAAATTATCATTACCAGTATTCACAGCTGCAGTGTCAAAACACATCCCTTTGATTCGGTCTTTTAAATTCCACTCATCTAAAGTTTCTACGATTGCTGTCGCTTGCTTAATTGCTGTACCTTCATCTATCTTAGGAACACCTAACAGATGTTCCAAGTTCAATCCCGTCACAACAACTGGTAAGCGATCGATTGTTTCTATTCCATGAACAACAGGGAGTATTTTCCCATCCTAATGTAGAGTCAAATTTTCAGGTACTTGCAAGGTTTCTTTCAATTCTTTAGTGAAGGCTTCACGAATTTCCATTCTTCTTTTACGAATAGTACTATTGCTTATTAATGCGTTCGGAACTTTCACTCCCACACTAGGTAAAGAGGCGGCTAAGATGAACGCTGCACTTCTGCTGCTTGTGTTCGTTCTATCAAGCGCAGCAACAAGACCCGGACTAATAATATCAATTTTTTCCGATTGTGAATTATTAATAAATTCATCAGAATAATTGAAATCCGTGCGATCTACTGAACAAGATGTGAAGGATTTCGATGTCAAATCTAAAATAGAACTGCTACCACGACTCAAGCTTTGGCTCAAATCTAACAGCAATTTGTAAATTAGAATTTATAGAATAAAAAACTGATTTGTAATATTATAAATACCTGTGCAATCGTTGTTTGGTTCTCCACCTAAATCTAAATTAATTAGAGTCTCTGTCGAAACTTCTGAATTGACAGATGCCAAGAAAATACTATGTCGATTTGAGGTTTTCCATTCTTCTTTTAAAAATTCAGACTGAGCTTCTGTTAAGGGATGTGCTGAGTTACGACTGGATATATCAAACAAATTTTTAAGCCGATTTGTAAATGTATGCTCTTTTATTTTTTGATTCTGTGTTTTCTTTTTTCTATTTTTCTTCAAAAGTTCCCACTCTCCATAAATTTTCATAATTTTGGAAACAGCGTTAGATGTTTGACACACTGGGATACCAGTAGATTTCCAAACTTTTAAAACATCACTAATCATTTGATTAAAACACTGTCGAATTGTAAGGTTAGGATCTATGTGTTTGTAGAAAAATAATTGCAACACTTTTCTTATACTCGGTAATTTTCGTTGACTTAATTTTTTACATGAAAAACCAAGCAAATAAATTTTTCTTGTAGCCATTTTACTGATAACAATCGAAAGTACTGGAAGATATAAAGAATATACAACGAGTTTCTGAAGATATGTGTCTCTGACAATGACGATTTGACAACTATACCGTATTTTTTTTTTTTTTATTGAAAAATAAAGAAAGGCTCGAGCTATGCGCTCACTCTGCCGTAGTTACAAGGTATTACAAAACTTACATACTAGAGCTCTCTTTGAGCCATAACGAATTATAGATTTCTGTATATTTCTTATTATCTAGGGATCCATCTTTAGGATGATATAAGCATTATAAGGCTCTAAATTTTAAATTTAACTTAACAATAGAACTGAAGCAAAAATATTAAAATATGAGTATTAAATATTAATGTTAATAGTATTTATAAACTTGGATAATGGTATCACAGCTATTGGATTCATTTCACTTAATAAGGCTTCGATATCATAAGGCGGAAAAATTTTTCCTTTGACAAGATCGTGAATTAAACCCTTTCTAGCTTCCTCATATAGTTTACATTGCCAGAAGACGTGGTTCGGTTCTTCTGTTGCCTCACCACATGGATATTGTTCAGAATTGACTATTTCAAAACGTTTTAAACTGTGAGCTAGGGACGTATGTCCACTTCTTAATCTATTTATAGAGACAATAGTTTTTCTTCGAAATTTGAAATTGTGAAACCACGGGCTTGCGCTTTCCGAATAAAATTTGTTGAAATAATTTTTACCTTTTTCTTTTCCAATGATTAAACACCATTGATTAAATTTGTTTTTGATTTTAGTTTTCCAAATTGCTTTAAAGTCAGAGGCAGAAATTAATAGCTGAGTATCTATACCGTTTTTGGCACTATCTTTAGCTGCTTGGTCTACTAGTTCGTTGTAAGTAATGTCTTTATGCGCGGGAATCCATACTAATTTAACTTTCTTGTTGAGAAGACTGAGTTTGTAAAGCTGATTTTTAACTATATAAATAATGGGTTTTTGTTTTTCTGAATTGACGAAATTTTTTAGGGCTGATAGAACACTTTTGGAGTCGCTAAATATATAAAATTCTTTTTGATTTCGGTCGAAAAATGACTCTAAAGTAGTAGAGATAGCCATTGCCTCTACTGTGAAGATTGAGGCAAATTTTACAGTACGAAATTTATTTATTTCTGTTGTTCAAGCATCAAGATTTGCAAAACCTGCGAACTCATTATTATCTATCTTAGAGCCGTCAGTGAACCAGCAACTAGCTTTTCTCAATTCATGCCTGAAGAGGTTCTCAAACTTTAGTCTTGGATTGGTAGCTTTTTGAATACTTATTCCAGTGTCAAGATCAACATCGGGAATAAACCATAGAGATTCATAAGAGAAGTTGTAACACCAAGGTTTATCTGAGCAGGCAATATAATGTTGAATTGGTATTGTATCTTCATATGCAAAAAGAAATAAAGGTTTTGAACCGCGAAATAGTAAAGTTGGGTTTTCTCTTCTCGCTATGATGTGGTCTAAAATTGGAATAAGGGGATGTTTAGTCTTTGCTAGCAGTTTGGTAAGGAAGTTATAACATAGGTACTGCATCCTAAGATGTATTGGAGGTTCCTTGGCTTCAGCGAACATAATATTAGTTGAAGTTGATTGCCTATAGCCCATGGCTATTCTCAATGCTTTATTTTGGATTATGTTTAGATTTTTGAGCGATTTTTGTGATAAAGGATGAATCAGGAAACCACAATATTCCATTCGAGATCTAACCAATGCTTTATACAATCGTAATAATACTGTGGGATCAGCTCCTCTCCACGGGGTCCTAAGGTAGCTCAGAATGGAAGTTGCTTTCAAACATTTTTCCCTGATATGTTCGACCTGGGCATCTCAAGCTAATGTGTTTTCAAAATATATACCGAGTAGTTTGAGTGTTGATTTTGACTTGACTCTCTTGGTATCAATTTCTATGGACCATTGCTTGGATGTTATTCTGTTGCATTGACTAAAAATACAGAGTTGACACTTATCAGGCGAGAGTTCAAGTCCACTGTCGTTAAGAAATCTGAGAACGTCTACCATGGTGATTTCGAGAGCTTCTATTGCGATTCTTGGGTCTCTGTTCTTTTTTATGAAAGTATCATCATCTGCGAATTCGCTAAGTTCACAGATGTGATTACAGGGTAGATACCCTGAGGAATAAATTCTAGCTTAGCTATGTAAAGAGCATATAATATTGAGCTGAGTACGCCTTCTTGTGCTAAGCCCTTGAAAATGGCCCTTTTTTCATCTACATCTCCGTATTTTAACGTTAAAATTCTTAATGAAACTAGGTTATAGACAAAATTAAGAAATAGTTCTGGTACTCCTTCTTCTTTGAGTTTTTGAATCAAGATTTCTGGTAGAACATTATCATACGCTCCTTTAATATCAATTGATAGCACAGCTACGACTGCATTTTCATCAAAAGCATTTAGAATTTCGGCATTTAGGAGTGTGAGGTTGTCTAAACAAGACTTACCTCGTCGAAAACCAAATTGTCTATTTGGGAGTTTTTGATGATGTTCTAACCACGAGCAGAGCCTGAGATTGAGCATTCGTTCTAGAGTTTTCAGGAGACAAAAAGCCAGTGAAATGGGTCGAACTTTTTTGCCATCACTTTTAGGTATAAAATAGACAAGATGTTCACGCCATTCATTTGGGAATGTTCCCGTGAGAAAAATCTCATTATACAGAGCAAGAAGAAGTTTGCGCAATTTTTCTGGAAACCTTTTTATGATTTGATAATCGATGCCATCTATTCCAGGACTACTATTGGTATTCCCTTTGTCAATAGCTACTTCCAGCTCTTCCAGGAGGAAAGGTTGATCTAAAAAAGGGTCGCCTATTTCGTTGTAAAAATCAGGTTTAGCTAACGGGACCCAGGCTGGGCACAACTGTTCAATTGCGATGTTTACATTTTTAATTAAATAATTCTTCTGAGTACTCGTTTGCTGTACTTGAAGTATTCCACCTATTTTTAAATTTTTTAAGCTTCTTCTAGATATAAGAGAGGTTGGTGTATTTATTTAGAGTATCACAGAAGGTATTGAAGCTTTCTTTTTTGATTTTTGCTAGTTCTGTTTTTGTATTGTGTTCAGATATATTCTAGTGCTTTACACTGCCTCGTACGTAACGCGGTACAAGGACCCACACGGGTTCTACGAAGATACCTTCCTTCGTATTCTTTAATAAAAAACTGAATCTTTGATCCATAGTGTTTGGTGGTTTTTATACACCTAGATCGTGATTTTCGGAAGGGAGTTAAATTTTATTGGTCTAAAATTGCAAATTTGACAGAACGTGGACAGTGTGCTCATTTCTTAATCGAGGTGATTGTCCGAGTGGTTGCAGAAATTTTATAAAGTACAGGCGTTGCACTTTTCATCGAAGGGGAGAGACCCTGTTTGTTACATGAAGCAACGCCGGATATAACATATTTGAATTTTCGAAAACTATAACGAATTCAAAGGATAACTTGTCGGGGTTTTTTTGTCATGGGAATATTTTGTCGGGGACATTTTGTCCGGGGATATTTTTTTTGGGATATTTTGTCAGGGGATCAAGACGCCTGATACCAGGACTAAGGAATTCAAGATAGAGATAGTCCTTACAGTTAAAATCTGGAAGAAAAAATTTTTTTTATTTACCTAAAGAATTAAGTAATGTACGTATATTTTATTCGAATGACTGTATTTCAATACTTTTTTTACAAAAATTTCGCAAACCAGAGTTGGCCACTCGAAGAATGAAAACGGATAAGGTACCATCTATCGTACTTGGTGCGAACAGCTTCTTCTCATAGGAACATTTTACAGAGAGTATTACATATATAATACTCATTCCTCAATCATGATGTAAATAAATATATGTATAAATTACTTTTTATTAAAAATGAATACATTGTTGATGTTTAATATCACCGACTTGATTGATCTTCTATAATTGTCACAAACTTTTGTCGTGATTTTTTGTTATTTTGATACATACAGGAAACTAAACCAATGAGTTGTTTACTGGAGTATTCCTGAAAAAAAAGACGATTATTACAGTCTATCTCACTACCAAACTTGAAAGATAAAATTTCCTAAGAAATGTTTGGTTTTAAGGATCATGTAAAAAAAAAATTTGAAAAACGGTAGACCCTGAAGGTCATCCGTGCAACTTCCCGCTAATTCCATACCTAGGTGCATAAAACTGTACTAATGACGTTTTTGAGCTCTTCGAGCTCAAAAATTCAATTTATGTGTTATTATGAGCTCTTCGAGCTCAAAAATACAACTTATCTGTTATTTTGAGCTCTTCGAGCTCAAAAGTCTGATAGAAGTATCATAGAACAATATTTTTTTAATTTTCAAACCGCACTAACTTTTAAATGAATCAACCGATTTTTACGCGGTTGGCAGTATTTGACGCAATTTTTTTAGTTTCATGAAAAATCTACATGTTTAGATTGATAAAACTAGGAAATTTGGAGTAATTTCAAAAAAACACTTTTTTTGGTTTTCTTTCGTTCATGATATTTCTTGAACAAATTGACCAATTTTGACCGGCTTGACGGCGATCGACGTAATTTTTTCATGCTAATAGCTGATTAGTTTTTTAAATCGATCAATGCAACAGTTTCAAAGTTATTCCAAAAAATGTCGGAGTTATGATAAAAAAACAATTATATCCAAATATTTTATCGAGGATATCTCTCAAACTAATGAACCGATTTCCACGTTTTTGGCGGAAATTGACGCGGTTTTTTGAGCTCTAAAATTATTCTATATCATCAAAAACGATCCGAGAAGAAATGACGAAGTTATGTTAAAAGAACACTTTTTTCGGTCTTCTTTCGTTCACGATATCTCTCGAACGAATCAACCGATTTTGACCGGATTAGCGACAATCGGCGTGGTTTTTCAAGCTTAAGGGCAGATTAGTTTTTAAAGTTGATCGATATAGCCGTTTAAAAGATATTCAAAAAAAAACCACTTTCAAAAATGATGTTTTTCTTATTTTTTTTTAGATTTTTTAAAATTTCTGAAAATCTATCGGTTCGAATCAGTTCAAATTCTCAGAAAATCTAAGTTTAAGGGAACTCTTTAGAACGCCGCTTAGTCCGTTCCAATCGGTTCAGTCGTTCAAAAGTTATAAGCGAGTCACACACTCACACACACACACACACACACACACACACACACACACACACACACACACACCACGAGAGCGTCAAGTTTTAGTATGACGCTGCGTCGAGTCGCCACATATCCGGGCCAACATCTATGCCTAGAATCCGTAAAAAGGATTCCCCCCCCTAAAGGGAAAAAAAAAAAAAAAAAAATTCAAAAAACACACACACACACACACACACACACACACACACACACACACACACACACACACACACACACACACACACACACACACACACACACACACACACACACACACACACACACACACACACACACACACACACACACACACACACACACACACCGCTGTTCTTGGATGACACTGTCTCAGTTGATGAGGTACAGAGGGTAGGAGCTAAATAAAATACACTCCCGTGGACAAAACTCCTCTTTAATGCGTTGGTCACACTAACTGACCTATCAAGACGATCGTTCTCTGCTGTGACCCACTCGACGATGCAGACCACGGCTGATGTGAGCTTGCTCTGCCGAGGTGTACGTTGCAGCAGTAGATCAGGAGCCAGCCACTTCGGGCCTTGATCAGGAAGTACGCAGTGAGTGTTAGAGATCGGAATCTTCACCGTTCCGAGCGAGTCTAGTCCGTCCGTGTATTCCGGGACTGGCTAAGTGTCGGCTAGGCCTCAGGGAATTGGGGTAGGAGTACTATCGCCGAGGGTACACCCGTTCCTAGTTATGGCAACCCACTGCACTCCGTACGATGCGCTGGTAAATCAAAAAGTATGAGTAATTCACAGGAAACAAACAAGAGTGAAAACGGACCTCATGCCCAACAAGATGCACTGCTACTTAGTGCAAAGATGAAGAGGACAGATGCTCTGGTACATCTAGAGAAGCTAGTCAGTGGACTGCAGGACTTTCTCCAAACCAAGCAAAATGTCCACAAGGAGATCAAGTCGAAGTCGACGAACATCTGCAGTGCCCTGAGAAGGTTCAAAAAACTGGACAAAGAATGGCAGGAGATCCAACAGCAACACGGTAATGTCGTGATGACGACGAGTGCGACAGCGGTTTCACCTGCAAAAGCCGACACGTTTGTCGAAGAGATGGACACAGGTTGCGAGGGTGACGTCGAGTCAGTTGTCGAAGACGGAGAGAAAACTGGAACTGATATCAGGTCTGGGAAAAGAAAGGAGCGAAATCCCCCAGATTCAATGACCAGCCGTACTAAGAAGAAGAAGGACCTTAAACCAAGTCCTCCGAAAAACGCGGTAACACAGAACGGCGGAGAAAAGGAGGTGAATGAGTGGCAAAAAGTCCAGTCAAGGAAGTCCAAGAGAGAGCAAGCAAAAGAAAAGCTCGGTGATGTCAGTAGCGAATACTATACTGGTGCAGCGGATTCTTAACATCTCGTCGAAGATGTCGATTTGCGTTTTGGGTCCTGCGTGGAGAATATCGTTCAACAAAATTCTTGTAGATGTTGCACAGGAACCGTTGAACACTGTGCGGAGCTTTGTAATGGTGCTGTCAAGCTTCAATACTCCATGAAGAGGCAAGAATTAAGCGTTGGCGGGAGATCATTGATCGGAACACGAATCATGTAGTCTTGTAGTATGTATTCTGCTATGAACGTGCGATAAATGTCAGAATATTCTTTTTCTCGCGACAGGCGAGTTATGAATCCGCGGACTGATCCCATAGCTGCGTTGATAGAGTCACCAAGTTGACTCTCGGGGGCTTTAAGCGGTAATCTCACTACGTAGCGTCCATCAGGTTGTCGATATTGCGTTTGACAACAGTGAACTTCACACTCGTCTTCTTCAGCGGGGTTGAGCGGTGAATTACCTGATGGAACCTCTTCCTGTTCCCAAAACTTCGCGATAAAGTTTTGTAATGATGTGTCCAATGACGCGCATAATGCTGTGTGTGATATTGAAACGTGTTTAGCGGTGATGGCTCCATAGACAATCCAACCTAGCGTGATGGATTGTGCAATAAGTGAATCGCGCGGTCCTCGTCTTATCTCAGTGTTGATGATTTGTGCAGCTGGTGATGCACCCAGGATAATTTCTACAGGACGTGGCTGTAGATAGTGCGGATCAGCGAGCTTGATGTTCTCAGGATGCGGCCATTTCGAATCAGCGATCACGATCGATGGTAGGTCTACGTCAGAGTTGGTAGAATATGCATGCTGACATACATTGAAGCGCCGTATACAGTGAATGAAGTATAATTGTGCTCACATCTAGTGAACTTTCTCCGGTGACATTGCCAATGCCCTTAAGCATGACCTAGTCGCGTTGTAGCGGTTGTCCAAGCTTCTTATGAATAGGAGCTCCAAACTTCTTATAAATGGGAGCTCTGAGCCTTGATCGATCAACATTCTTGCGGTGATTGGGTTACCATGATGCGGACGAACTTGGACTAAAACGGTAGCAAGTAATACTTGGGTGGAAAGCGGATCTGAAATAATCAACAGTTGATGTTAAGCTATAAGCTGTCTAAAGGAACGGTTAGTAGCCTTGTGCGGAAGATGCAGGCTGCGGCGAAGCTGGTGTTATTCGTGCATCCAAATGTATGGACGTGTGGTGACGTTGACCACATTTTCGACAATCTTGAGCGGTCTTGCAGTCTACGACGCGGTGCGGAACAAGGTAGTTGAAGCACAAGTGGTATTTTTCAACTATCTTGCGTCGTTCTCCACAGCGAGATTTTTTTAGGCCTGAAGTCAAGTTTTCGATCTTATGAGCGGAAAGTTCAGCGTACCGGTGTACAAATGACCACCAGGAGCAGCACTCGATGTGCTCAGCGAGGCTCCCGACACTCGACCCTTCCTAGCGGAAATAAAACTTCACTCAACACAATTGTCAGCGGTTACTACAGTTAATTGAGATAGATTCAGCCTGATCCGGCTCGAGGGACTAAATGTAAAATGTACTATTAAGCGGGAATTTTTGGATCAGGTTTAGACTGATTATCTCAATTAAAAACACAAAAGTATTATTTAAAATATGAACTATAAATTTATTTACACTAATTACAATTCATTAAAGATTAATTAGTTAGCGGATTGTTATTAAGGAGGATGGCCACTGTGAAATTTAAAAAAAAAAAATTTTTTTTTTATTACATCCAAGTTTATAGATTCAAAAATATGTATCTAGAGTTTGGTATAAAAATTCCGAATATTTTCCGAGTTATAGTCATTTTTGTGACAGCGCGTCAAATGACTACACGTGCGGCACTGCGACAAAAACGTATTTTTCTCAAAACTACTTTTTTTGAACTGATGAGAACTGTAATTTGCATAAATATGAACCGATTTGAAACTTTTTTTTCCCCCGTATTCGTCTATTCAGTAGCTATAGTTGCACGTAGGAAATTTTGGAAATTTGGATTTATTACGGCTGTTTGAATCTAAAAAAATGAGGAAAAAATACGAAGAAATTTTTAATATGTCGCCATTTTTTTTTAAATCCAAATTTTTAAAATTCCCTACGTGCAACGATAACCACACGCATGCAGATTACAACGCTCTTTCGTTTTTTTGTTCTAAATAATTCGTTTTTGAGTTAGAGATCGCATCAGAGAGGGAGAAATTTTTTTGGTGCCCCACAAAAATGCTGATAACTTTGTAACCACATGATATTTTTGGATAAAAATTTAGGAGAATAATCTGCAATGTATACTTTATAAAACAAAAAAAAACCCGATCCCCAAATTGCTTTTTTATCCCAGTCAAAAAAATTCCCGAAAATCACCTATTTTTTCGATCCTTACAGTGGCCATCCCCCTTAAAAATGCGGATAAGTTAAGCACAGCGGTGTTGAAAAAAGATAAGCTGGTTGCCACGGGGTCGAAACAAACAGGCACTTAAAGGAAGCGGTGAATTTACGAAATAAAGCACAAAGCTAATCTGAAACCGATTCAAAATAATTTTGCACAACTAGTTAAATTTACTGAGTTATTTATTTAACAATAGCGGACTTTATAAGCGTAAAAAGCATTAATATAGTGGAATGGCGGTGCGAATACTCAAAGTGTAGTTACGAAAGATAATAATAATAATGCGTCGTCTTTCTGGTCAGTTTCGTGAAGAAGCCTGACTGCCCATGTCCGCGGAGCAAAACAGCCAATCAGAAAATTCGTTCTATTGATGTCGACACCGATAGCCAATAGTGAAATTTATTACAACTGGCGTGCTCGTGACTCTAGAGTAACTCGGTTTGCGCAAGCGTCAGAAAATTCAAAGCGTTGAATTTTCTGGTTGGTTAAGAATAGCGCGAACGCGCGGTCGTCAGGTGCGACTCATGGCTTTCTTGGAGTCCACCAGTGACGAATTACTAGCGAGTGGGCCTGTTCACTCTAAAAATTTTTAGAGTAGTGATCTGATCATTATTTTAGTAAGTCTTAAATAGTCGAGTAAAGTTATATTTTAGACGACCAAACAGAAATTTTTTTTGCCTTCACGTGTACATAAATCTGCAAGTATAGGGAGATAGTAAGAAATAAAAATTTTAGTGTTCATATATTTCTTCAAATAACCCTTGATCCACTTAAAAAATAAACAACTTTCCTCGATTCCAAGATATGCATGTAACTATGTAATCAAAATAAACGTTTTAAAAATTTTGTCTCAAAATTGGTGAGTTAAATAATAAGAATGTATATTACTTTTCCGCTAAAAATTTTTAATTGATTGATTCAAATTTCAGATATGTTTTGAGGGCTGATAATATAACATTATAAGCTAAAGCTTCTAAGAAAAAATTAAGAGTTACGTTAGTCCATAAAATCATTATGATGGTAAATCATTTAGTAGTAGATAAGAGTTTTATATATTCGATCAAATTTAAGAAATCATATAGTGTTATATAAAAATTTATTAACATTATCAGTTGTTCTTTGATAAAAGTCTAAAATTTCTTCCAGTTTGTTATAAACTCTTATAAAACTTTGTAAAATTATATGACATTTTATAGACATCATCCCTTGCTATCAGATGATAGCATGTCATATATGAAATTTTATATTCATGAACTTTTACAATAGAGACATTAATAACGAAGCGAATGATCCTTTATTAACATAATATCGTTTAATATAGAATTTACTCTTGTATAACGCATACCTTATGACATTTAATCCATTCACGAAGCGTATTCTCCGGAATGTAGTAAGCTTTGACATAGGATTCAACAAATTCACTATAAGGCATCGGTCTCAATCCAGTTATCGATTCGAACTTCAATTTTAATTGTGTATAATCAAGTTGCATCAAACCTCGTCCACCATTTGAACATTTTCTTGCATTTGAATAACTGCCAAATTAGAGATAAAAATAGCAATCAATTTATTAACGAGATTAGAGATGTATTAATTCTACAATAGGTTAATATTTTCATGAATATCAAAATGTTGTTCATACACATGTTACATGTTATTTTTAACTATCTCCTCGAAAAAAAATATTTATATATAATCATATATATTTAAATATAAATTGGTTATATATCTTTTCAAACTCAACATACTTCATTTTTAGACGAATACCAAGGCCGAGTTCAAAGATGAGCTTAATCAGTCAAGTAGTTCAGAAATTACAGGGTTTCAAAATTTTCCCAATCCTAAAAATTCATTTTTTGGCTGATTCTTTCGCGCATAACTTTTGAATAAAATAACTTATCGAATTTTTGTAAATTGCATTTTAAAGCCCATTAAACAAGCTTTAATTTTTGTACCATTTTATTCTTCTAAACTTAAAATAACGTATACGTCTGTAGGTTTCAATGAAATTTTACTCTTGCAGTCGTTTTTTCGATTGATTTGTCCAATATATCTCCTATAATAAATCTATATATATTTTCATCTTTATTTATGAAATCTACTTCCATTTCGGCTGCCGAATGGCCTTTTTGAATTTTCAAATCGCAATAACTTTCGAATGAATAAACCGATTTTCACGCGGTTGATGACATTCGACGCAGTTCTGCTTTAAGCTTCATGAAGAATCTTCAATTTTAAATTGATTAAACGAGAAATTTCGGAGTAATTCCGAAAAAACATTTTTTTTTCAGTTTTCTTTCCTCAACGATAACTTACGAACGAATCAACCGAATAGTTTTTGGAATTGATCAGTAAAGTTGTTTAAGAGTTATTCTAAAAAAACCACATTTGAAAAAATTTTTTAACTTCCCGCTAAGAAAATCGAAGATTTTCAAATATCGGGAAGTTATTGTTTTTACCCCGTTTGTCGAAAATCGAGTTTCCATCAGATCTCGACGTTTTGAGGTCCTAGAAAGCTTCCCTGACTATTCCCTACACGGAAAAAAAATCCTATGATAAATTACATTCGTAACATCGTAATCCACGACTAGACTCTCAGTATGTTGATTTTTACGATGCTGCCGTCTACAGAATACAATTTGAATTATTGAAAATTACGATGTTATTTAGTAAATTTTTTCTCCGTAAGAGCAAGTGAATAAGGACGCATACTATATGTTCTAATAAAAGAGAGACTTTACTGTTTTAACTGTTAAATTCTCCAACTGTGAGACCTTCCGCTTCTCCTCATTTGTAAAGTTAATGCTCTAGCAAAGCATTAGTACTATCTTTTTTGTCCATGCTCATTGAAACCGAAATTTTCACTGTTTGAAACTATAATTTTTGTAAGATGAGAGAGTCGTTGTTATCTACTATAGTGACAGCTACTAATCACTTATTTTCGATATTAAATTATTATTACAAATTGTGACTTTTACACTTTCTACACGGAAAAAAAATCTTATGAAAAATTACATTGGTAACATCGTAATCCAGGACTAGACTTTCAGTATGTTGATTTTTATGATGCTGCCGTCTACAGAATACAATTTGAATTATTGAAAATTACTATGTTATTTAGTAAATTTTTTTTCCGTAAGAGCAAGTGAATAAGGATGCATACTATATGTTTTAATAAAAGAGAGACAGAGTCTAGTAGTTTGCGACGCCACCACCGAAAGATGACCAACTACTGTATGGAGGGTCTTATTATGTGACTGAACAGAAAGTATAGATATTCCCTCTGATGGCGTAAGGGGATAAGCCTTGGGCCTGTGGCGGCGAAAATACCGGGTTCGATTCCTCGGTGACATGGAATTATTTTTTCGGTGAACTAAACTTCTTTTTCATTTGAGTGATAGAAATTTACGATGTTGCAACGTATAAATTATAATGTTTGAGTTCTGGTCCGGCACTACCATGTTCTATACTAAAAATTACTATGTTTCCATCATAATTTTTTGTACAATTTTCTTTCCGTGTAGATGGTGTCTGTATGTATGCATGTAAAAAAATCTTTTTTTTTTTCAAACTAGTATACTTTGCGCGCGCAAGCGCGCATGTGAATGTTGGTATGGAATTATCTATATTTTCATACTTATGATATATTTGACCAATCACGTTATGAATAGTTTGCTCTTACATGATATATTTTCATATTTTTCATCTAAATTATAAGAGTGGATTTCTAATGCTTACCCGGCTTTTACAATATTGCAAATCGGTTTGATGGACCTTGTGGGGAATTTCACGCTCTTCAAAATAGCCTCAGAGTTTTTTTCGTGTCTCGCACTGGTTCACCAGTAGGAGTCGTCAAAGTACAGTTTTTGAAAAAAATATATTTTCATTTAATTTTTCGAGCAAACCGCTAAAATTAAGAAGAAAAAAAAGACTAACTCATAAAAAAAAAGTTATCTGACCGATATTCAATGAATTTACAGCCATTTTTATATCGGAAAATGTAAGAAATTGATAAATACTAACTCATAATGTTATTTAGATTCATTTTTTTTATTTATTACCATTATATGTATTTCCCTACACTAAGAACTTTTTTAAAATTATTATGATTTTTTACTCATAATGAATACAAAAACAACACATAAATTCATAAAGAAACTACAACAATAAAATTGTACCATAGATCTTGCAATCCCTGTTTAAAAATATTGATTGAAAATAATTAAAACTGATGAAATTCGAATTCTTTTCAATAATTTTAATTCTTTTGTTTGTATATATAGATATACAGTTTGCATGGAGTGACCGCTTTTCAATTCTTTTCAATCAGTATTTTTAACCAGGGATTTTTCAACATTTCTGTCGTTTAGCAAAAAAATAAAAATGAAGACTTTAATGTTTTGTAGCACAATTCCAAAATTAGCAAAAAATTAAATTTTTTCATTGGTAACTTTATTCACGCCAAATTCGTATAAGTAGAAATCATTCTTTGAAAAATTACACCAAGCAGTCCCGAGATGGCATATTCTAACATTGCTCTAATTAATTAGCATGATATTATCGTCTCTATTGTCTATGTAGACGGGTTTGATACTTTATGGCATACCTAACCTCAAAATAATTTTCTCATTGTTTGTTGTATTAAGTGATTAGTCCAAAAATCAAGTGACAGTGATACTAAGACAGAACAAGCCAATTTTTTAATAAACAATATTCAAATTACCATTTTAATATCAATTTTTCGCCGTCACTTGTGTTTAAAGGTTTACCATTAATGATTTAATAGTTAATCGTTAATCGAGTTTGAATTCTTTATCGACGATAAAGATCATCAGAAACAATATTTATTATTACTTGCTAGGGCTTCACACGAGATGAGAGTAGACAAGAATACTAAAAATCTCGTCTCGGTCTCGTAAATTCCGAAAAAATTAAGTCTCGTTCGAGTCTCGGTCTCGTCTCGTTACTAGTTGTCTCGCCTCGGTATCGTTTCGTTACCAGTTGTCTCGTCTTGTCTCGCTTAGTTCTAAATATTAAGAACTAATATATGAAATGAAAAATAAATAATAAATTATTTTTTTAAACTATAATTAAAACTTTCTTTATACAATAATATTTTTACATATACATAAATTATTTAAGTTTTGACATTCTTAATTTTATCTTTTAAATTACACGATGACCAAGAATTCAAACATAATAACGCTTGCATCACATCATCTTTCAATGATGTACGTGATTTTGTCATGATCATACCTGCTGTAGAAAATAGTCGTTCAACAGGAACGGATGTAGCCATCATACTAAATAAATCTTTGGCCATCTTGGAAAGGGTAGGAAAAGCTTTTTCATGCACTTTCCACCACTCCAAAATGTTTGTGTTTCTATCTTCTTTTTCTAATCGTAAATACTCTTCAAAATCAGCTTTCCAATGTTTCGAAGTTTCTGTCGAAGTTTTATATAGGCTATTAATATCAATACATTTTTGAATAGAATCGTTACAGCTTTCAATGACTAAGCTCTCAGTTGGTTGATTATTGAGGGTGTTTTTAGCGTATTTTTTATAACACTCTTCGAAACATAGGATAGCTTCATTCTTCATTTCTTTACCCCAATCGGTTTTGTCGAATATTTCGACCTTATGCCGAGGATCTAAAATCAAACTTGAACAATAAACCCAATTGGTTTTCCTGTAATGCTTTAACATCTTATCTCTAGATGCTTGAAAAGCAATTAATAAAGTTTCATCAACAACAGTGCAATTTGCCTTATTGTCTAACTTAAAAATTGTCGAATCAATATCTGAGATAAGTATGTTAAAAGCAACAACAACAATCGGTAGCGTCACGTATTTTTCACCACAAATTGCTTTCGAAACTATTTTGAAATTTTTTAAAAATATACATATTTGTTCAAGTAATAACCATTCATTTTCATTTAGTCTTAACATACTTATACTTTTATTATTTTCGTGACTCAACCAGAATAAATTTAAACTATTTTTTAAACTAATTCCTACTTCAATCATATCATGAGTGCTATTCCATCTTGTCTTAACATCCAAAATAGGTTTAATATATTTTGTTTTTGTGATGTTACAAAAATCAATTAATTTATTTTGTAATTGCTCAGACTTTCTTATTTTAATGAATGAACTGTGCAATTTACAAATAGCGGATGATAGACTGAAATCAATTGAAGTCAATTCAAACAATTCGTCTTCATCTAAAACGTCATGATTGCGTTCTTCATCATTAACATTTTCTACTTTAGAGATTAAACTATCCAGAATATCACTCTCAGATTCAAGAAAGTCTACTTTAAACATTTTCATAATATCTTGAACACCGAGATTCAAAATGTGGGTAAAACAACGAAAATGTTGATTGATATGATCAAAAGATTGGTCATTTTCTGTCATCAAAACATTTAATTCACTCATAAATGTAGTGTTTGCCGCTGCATTGTCAAGGATTATTCATTGAATCTTATTCTCTAACGCGTATTCTTTAATGCATTTAAAAAAAACTTTTGCGATATCTTTTTCGCTATGTCGACCACAAGAAGGTACAAAATCTAAAGCTAAAGATTGTAGCTGCCAATTATCATCGATTAAGTGAATAGTTACGCCGTAATATGACCTGAAGTTCATCGAAGTCCAGCCATCTACGGTAAATGAAAATTTAGAACAGTTATTATTCAAAATTTCCTTTACTCTCACTCGTTGAATGTGAAAATGCTCCATCACCATTCGCTGAGTACAATTACGTTTGGGGACACTGATGTTGGATTCAAAATATGAAAAGAATTTTGAGTGTCGTCGTCATCAAAAAACTCAAGGCCAACTTTTTCTTCGCTATCGACTCTACAATTAAAGCCTCATAATTCTTCGATGATAATTTATTCTAAAACATAAAATTCCTTTATGTTTATACAACTCTACTAAAATTTTTGACTAAAAATAGTGAATTCAATATGTGGATCATTCCACACCAAATCACGAAATCTTAAAAATTGTACAGTGATAAATATGTAAATTAAATTTTTTTCCATAAAAAATGTCGCTCTTCAAAGAAAGTCAAAATTTAAGTTAAAAGTTAAGAAAAATTGGTGAAAAAAAATTTTTTTGGTTCTTATTTTATTTCATTTTTTTTTTTTTTCAAAAACTACACTTCTAAACGAAAAAAATAGCCGCCAGCAAAGAGAGGTAACGATAATTAAATTAGAAGTTATGAATTTTTCAAAATTACTATGCCGTTGTTTTTTTACAATTTTTAAAAATTCATATTTTCGGAGCTTTTGAAAATTAACGGCTCATAATGTCATAATTTAGGGGTAGGCGTCTTTTGAATCGTATAGAAACAAAAAAATTTTTTTTTTTTTTTTTTATTCTATTTATTTAAGGTCGTTTTTTAACATCAAGGTCATTAACGACCACTGTAGATTACAACAATTTTAGTTAAGTTTTACATGAAAGCGAAATTTGTAAAGTAATATAATATATACAATGAAGTGTTTTTTCTAGAACAATTTTGACAGATGTTTCAATTTTATTTTTAGATTTTATTATATAAATTAATTTTTTTCAGAAATTTTATCGTTTTTAGGATCCCTCCCCGTGTATTTAGACAGTCTTCAATGTTGTTAGGTAGATTCAAGTCGGCTCTGGTCCTCGTTCCAGTGGTGCACTCCAGGAGAATATGTTCGGTGGTGAGCTCAGTGTTACATTTGTCACACTTAGGTTGGTTCTCTTTGTTCAACATCCATTGGTGGGTAATCAGCGTATGACCGATCCTCAATCGGACAATTTTCACCTGGTCTTTTCTAGAGATGGAGACCTCAGGGAATATATCATCAACAGTTTTCCTTATTTTCTTAAGTTGGGTGTTTTTTTGGTTCCAGTGATTGTTCCAATAATTCCGTGTCTCCGTTTTTATCGCCTTGTAGTAGTCTTCCGGTGTGGGGGTTGGGATTATGTCAGGGTTATCTTTGAGTGCGGCGTTTTTTGCCTGTTGGTCTGCTTCCTCGTTCCCTTTTATGCCTTGGTGTCCAGGTATCCACACAATTTCCACCACGGTGAGGCAGTTTAGGTTGTGAAGAAGAGTTGATATTTCCATTATTAGTGGTTTCTTTTTTTCCTCGCTCTTTATGGCCGATAGAGTGGACAGTGAGTCAGAGAATATAACTGATTTTCTAATACTTTCTGCGTTACTGATAAGTTGAAGTGCTTTAAGTATAGCTGTAGCTTCACATGTGAAGACCGAGTGAAAGTCTTGTAGTCTAAGTGTATGTACTTCACTGTTTGTCACGATTGCGCAACTTGATTTTCCATCTGCATGTGAGCCATCTGTGTAGTACTGCTGGTATTCATGATACTTGTCTTTGAGTTCCAAGAATAAATTTTTATAGATGGTGGATGATGTGGCTTTCCGAGGGTGGTCTGCTAGGTCAAGATTGAAGGGTCTGATTAGTTCCTCCCATGGCGGAGGTATTACTATGTTAGTAGCGGTCCAATTTGGCAGTGGGAGATTAAGCTCCTTTGCGTATTTGTTTGCTCTGATTCTTAATGGTTGGGGTAGAAATTCCTTTATCTCGTATTCAAGATCTGTTATGGAAATTTTGTCTACTTGGTTCCTGGCCGGGTTATCCCGGCGAGTGGAAAGCTTGGTACGGTATTTTAGGACTAGCTCTTTCCTTCGGATGGCCAGTGGTTTTTCTCCTGATTTAGCCAGAACGCTGTTGGTAGGACTTGTTCTAAATGCGCCTAAACAGTATCTGAGCGCTGTATTCTGGATGGATTCTAGTGTTTTCAATTGTCTTGTTGGGGCTGAATCGTATATTATTGATCCATAGTCGAGTTTTGTTCGTACAATGGCTCTGTAAGTTCTTAGGAGACAGTCTTTATCCGCACCCCATGACGTAGAGGCCAAGGTTTTTATTAAATTGTTTCTCTTGTTACAGTTTGTTCTTGTGTTCTTGATGTGTTTTTCCCATTTCAGTTTCTGGTCAAAAACCATTCCTAAGATCTTTATAGATGATTTTTTGTTTATTTCAGTTCCATCTAGTTGCAGCTTTTTTTGTTGCTTTGATTCTGCTTCTTGAGAAAATCATATATTCTGATTTGGATCTGGAGAATTTAAACCCTGAAGTCTCTGACCATTTCTGCAGTTTGTTTAAGGTGTTTTGTACTAGTTCCAAGATAGTGTCTACGTTTTTGCCTTTGACCAATAGTGTCAAATCATCTGCAAACATATAGCTTTTTATAGGTTGTTCAATGAGTGAATGAATATCATTAACAGATACAATAAAGAGTACGACACTTAGTACTGCTCCGATTGGAAGGCCGTTCTCATAGGGGTGTTGTTGTTGATAGAGGAGACGAAGCTTTCCCAAGATTTTTTTCGGCTTTCTTTGAAAATTCTACGTGCTTTAGCTCTAATCTTCTTAAATTCAATCTTAAATTTATCATTTGGATCATTTAGTTTATTTTTTTTGTACTGTTTTCTGGCAATTTTAACCTCTTTGAAGGCTGTAGAGCAAGTTTTGTTCCACCAAGGTACTTTCTTTTTCTTTGCAGTTCCAGTAGACTTGGGAACACATTGGTCGGTTGCTAGTAGGATAATTTTATTCCAATGGCTCAGTACAAAGTTAATGGGAGAGTTATCCAGGTTTAAAACGTCTTTTTGTTCAATTATACTCTTGTTTATGATTTCTTGGTAACTTGCCCAGTCAGCCTTTTCAAAAATCCATTTTTTAGATATTGTGGTTGCATTTTCAAGTTCGTCTCTGCTAGTCAGTTGGATACAAATTGAAAAATGATCGCTGTCATAGAGATGATCTAAAACTGACCATTCCAGTCGGGTGTTTAGTCTTGTAGATACGATTGATAAGTCGATGTTACTAGTTGTGCCATATTGGCTGTTGAAGTGAGTTACTTGACCCGTGTTTAAGAGCATTAAGTTGTCTCTGGTATCGAGCCACTTAGCTATCCTTTTGCCTCTTGGATCATTTGTTTGCGAACCCCAGTATTTGTGGTGGCTGTTGAAATCACCTGCAATTAATATCGGTGTTGGTAGTTGGTCTACAAGATTCTGTATATCCTCTTCTATGATTGGGGAACTATTGGGGAGGTAGATGCTGCAGATTGTCATTTGGTATGGGAACTTGATTTTTATTGCTACTGCTTCTATGTTAGTGACGAGAGTCACTTGTTCTGGGAGTGAGTGGGGTTTCGCATAGATAGCTATGCCTCCACTCGACCTTGCCGCCTGGATCGTATTTTTGAAAAATTTGTGAAATATTGGAAGATTGGCACAGTGGTTGTTTTGAAAGTTAGTTTCCTGAAGACAGAGGATTAGTGGGTCTAGATTGTTAACTAGAAGTTGGATGTTCTCTAGTCGGTTATAGTAACCATTAACATTCCATTGTATTACGGCCATTTTTAAATATAATTTGTTGGGTTAAGTTGGAGGTCAGGCTGCTTATGGATTTACTCCCGGTTCATGCGAACCTCTGGTTGAAATTTGGGCTTTTCGCATTAATCTAGAACATCGGTTTTTCAATCTGGAGTTCATGCTAGGATATATACTTTTAGCCATATCTAACAGCAGATCAGTTCTGGTTGTGTACTCTGCCACTAGTTCATCTACATTGTGTTGACCTTTCGCAGAGTCTATCAAATTTCTGAACTGTGTCAGACTTAGAGGGAAGCTTTCTGGCGGGTTTTTGAATTCATTGTTTAAGTCTTCCCAGACTTGTTCATCTGTTCTGATGTCTGTTTTGGGCTTCTTCTTAGTCCCTCTGAGTTTTGGCATGATCCAGTTACCTTCTAGATCACTAGCCACGCTGGAGTTGTCAGAATCCCCCTCCATCTCATTTAGCATGGCGAACTCAGTTGACGTCGACTCTATGGTGCTGGAGTGTGCTCTTTTTTGTCCTTCTATTTGTCTTGAGATTAAAGGAGGAGGCATGTATGCAGTGGTCATGTTTGCTTTATTTGGGTTAGCTTGCACCGAGGGGGTTCCGCTGGATGGAGGTCGAGGGTGAATTTTGAAGGAGCTTTCAGAGTTTACTAGGTTAGATGTGGATGTTGTCTGCAAGAGAGATTCAGTGTTAGGTGCCATTTGGTGTGGCAGGTTATTGTTGTCAATTTCTCTAGTAGTGTGGTAAGATTCGAGGGTGTCTTTATTGTTAGAGTTTGGGCATTGCTTAGCAATATGTCCTTCTTGTTTACAGAGAAAGCATGTCATCGTGTCAGTTGTTAAATAAATCCAGTATTTCGTTTCTTCGAAAGTGATTTGTAATGACTCTGGAATTTTATTGACATCATCGGGGGTTACATATAATTGTCTTCTGAAGCTTAGTATGTGGTTAAATCCTGGTTCTGTTAGTCCGGCTCGGAGGAATGTTATCGGTGAGGCAGGGATAATGTTAAGATCTTTTAGTTTGTCTATGAGCACGTGGTGGGGGATGACTGGGCAGACATTTGATAGTATTATTCTTTTATTCCTGGTAATAAGTGGTCTTATTGGTACTAGTTGGTCGTTTATTTTAATTACTTTGTGTTTGTCTACAAGTTCATCTGCTAATTCCTTTGTGGCAACGTAAACATAAACGCGGTTGTTGGCGATTCTTGAGACGAATCTTATCAGTGCTGGGGGTATGACTTTGGCCAGAGCTTGATTGTAGTCCTTCAACTGTGTGTTGTCTAATACATCTATAATAATGGTCTGGTCTTTCTTTGGGAAGCAGTCAGCCTGGGTAACGTTGGAGTAGCTTTGGGAACTTTGGGTCTGTGGGGTCTGGAGGTTCGCCATCCTGGCCTTGGTTATCTCTAGGTAGAGACCTGGTAAGAGACGTACGTAAAGCTGACATTGTCATCATAGCGGAATCGCATTTAAAAAAGCTAGGAATTTGATGCTTTTTTGATGCTAATTTGTTGCTGCAAAACCAATTTTTTTGCGATAACCGTTTTCGAAAAAATCAAGACAATGCCACCTTATTATTAAGGTGGCATTGTCAATGCATAAAAACTCGATCGATGTCACTATAAACTTACTACTTTTTTATTGCTAACTTTCTATAACGAAATTGATTTTTTTGTTCTAACCATCTTAAAAAAAATTATAGCAATACCGTTAAGTAGAATGACGGAGGCATTGTCAAGCAAATAGGTGCCCAGTAGACCACTGATAATGCCAGTTCTAACTCGAATCAGCATTGTCAAGCTAAATATCGGTCATTGTTGAGTCAAAGTATGTCCTGAGACACTCAAGAATAAGTTGCTCGGGCTGAGCAAATTGCGTGACCTAGTTGACCGCTGACAATGCCAGGTCTCTCTCAAGTCAGCATTGTCAGGCTAAATACAGGTCATTGCTTAGTCAAAGTATGTACTGAGATACTCAGGAATAAGTTGCTTGGGCTGAGCAAATTGCGTGACCTAGTTGACCGCTGACAATGCCAGGTCTCTCCAAAGTCAGCATTGTCAGGCCAAATACCGATCATTGTTGAGTCAAAGTATGTTTACGGAGGAAATTAAATAATGGTACACTGATAGAAAAACAATCTTGATTCAAAAAACTTTTTTTCTTCAAAACTTTAACTCTTGAAACTAGATATAGATATATTTCTTTCAAGAATTTTTGTCTCTTGGTTCAAGATAGGCGATAACATTGATTCAAGATGTTACCGACTTGTGTTAAGAATGGCTTTTTTTTTGAGTCATTAATTAATTTACTTACTTCTAAGAAATAATTTTTTTTTGGTATAACAATTAAAGACTATTTAGTTTTTGAATTATACTTTGATGAATTATTTTAAGTTTTTTAAACAATAATGTTATTTTGATTGAAAAACTTAAATATATCGATTGAAGATAATATAGCTCTTAAGCCAAGAAAATCTAAATCAAGACAAGAAATTCTTAGAGCAAGATAATCATTTGTCTTCCAAAATAAATTCTTAGATCAAGAAAATATCTCTTGAGTCAACATAAATTTTCTATCAGTGTAATTACTATTTAATTATAGTAAATTTTTATATCAACCCGATAGTAGTGAATACTATCTAGATTATTGTATAAATTATCAAATTACCTAGATTGTAGCATTTGCCATATTTATAATAATTGTTACAATCCTGTATTTTAACTAGAGTTAACCACTTTTATCATTCTAAATAGTTATATTTATATTCCAGATGGTAACAGTTACTATTAGAAATTATAAGTGTCACTATCTAAGGTAGTAAGTAGAATTTAAACATCATTGTTTAAAAACCACGGTTAAAAACGTAAAAATACATGGAAAAAAAATTATAGGTATTATTCCTATAAATTTATGGGATTTCTTCCTATACCGATTACAGGAACGATTACTATGGTTGTGGGATTGACGCCTACAATATTAGGAATCGGACATAGAATTCAGAAGATCATTTCTAATAATTAGGGCCAGGAAGTTGGCGTTTTTTCTTTATTCAAATTTTAGGTTAAACATATGAATGCTCATTTAAACAACTGCGAAAGTCCTGGCCTTACTAATAATTAAAAATTAAGAAGTTCATGCTTATAAAAGCCGAAATTTTTGATGAAAGTTGTACATTTAAAATTTATAAGGGGATAGAAACTGATACGTCATAAGGAACAAATTAATCTTAAAAATATAACTGCAGTCTATCGTTCGATAAAATTTTTATTCCAGACTTAAAATATCATTTAAGAGGACAAATCATGCATGAACAGTTCTTGTCAGCTGATATATGGAGTTTTAATCCTTATCTATTTTAGGCTAGATCAGACATGGACAGGTCTGATCAGATCTGAGCGTATTTAACGCTTCAGACATGAACAGGCATGAACAGGCTTGATCCGATCTGATTTTCTAAGCGTATTTAATGCTTCAGACATGAACAGACATGAGCAGGCATGAACAGGCTTGATCCGATCTGATCAGGTCTGGGTGTATTTAATGCTTCAGACATGAACCGGCATGAACAGACATGAGCAGGCATGAACAGGCTTGATCAGGTTTGATCAGGTCTGAGCGTATTTAACGGTTCAGACATGAACAGGCATGGACAGGTCTGATCAGGCCTAATTTCAGGCCTGATCATACATGAACAGGCCTGATCAGATATGAACAGGTCTGATCAGACCTGATCATTTTTTCCCGGGTATGGAAATAGTTCCTATGAGAATTAGAGGAGTGGTTCTAATATTTACGGGAATTTTTTCCATATTTTATAAGAGCGATTTCTATATACCTTTTGCAACTATTCCTATGATTTATAGGAATAAATTCTGCATTATAGGACCCGTTGCTATTAATTATGAGAAACATTCTCATATAATCTTATGGAAACCATTTCCATAATATCATGAATATTATTTCGATTACAATGTAAAAAATATTACTATAATTATTCAGCAAGTGTTCCTATAATATTAATAAAAATAATATCAATATATAGTAAAAAAAATAGTATCAATAGTAATAGTATCATAAATAATAAAATAATATTAATAGTAAAAGTATTAATAACAGTAATAGTAAAAGTAATAATAGTTATAGTTATAATATTAACTAGCAACATTGCAGTCATTATGTAACTGGCGTGACTTGTGAACTATAAATTAATAAATTTTTGCATTATTGAACAATGACTTTAGTTAAATTACACTGTACTTTCTTAACTATTGACGTTTGTAAAGATATAAGCTCATGCCAATGTTAGACTCATCGAGAGCTTTCATTTGAGTACCCACATGCATTGTGATACATTTTTCATATGTACATACGCTTAATATTATAATATAACACACATGAAAAATTGATGTGGGTCCTCAAAGGAACGGTCTCGATGAGTGTAATGTCGGTGTGAGCTTATATTTTTAGATATATGTCAATAGTTCACAAGATACAAGGTCATTTCTTAATTATGTATCGAGAGATATAGCATTTTCAGATGCAGCCTAGACTGATTCAGAATAAAAAAACTTTTTTTTTTTTTGAATAAATACATCTAAAAAGTTCCTTTGTTAGACCAAAAAAAAACCTCCTAAAAGATGAGCTTGATATCTTGAAAA